CAGCATGAAAATGTAGGACACTGAAATAAATTACTGAAACTGAGATAGTGTTCAGAATATAGGAAGCTTAGTAGGAAGTCAGTGAACCTAGGGAAGTGGGTCTTTGGGAGTGTCTAGATACCTGAGGATTTGTTGCTTGCACAATAAAAAGTATGTAGATGAGGGGCATCTCTCAAATCCAAATGTTTTTCATGCTATAGATGTAGAGAACAATGCCAGCAAGGATTTAACACATGCAACCGTGTGTTTCGTGGTTAAGGATTCTGATGGATGATAGCTGGACTTGGGCACTGTGTGTTAGATTGCTGACATGCATTCTTAGGGTAGTACTTGTCACTTTTTAACTGTACTCTAATAATTAACGGTCAAGTGTCTTTTCTGCCATAATCCTCTGCAGAGACAGAAGAAAATGATACAACATCAGGTTTTGGAGCAAGATGCATGTTCTCCATGTCTCTGCCATGGGATAGGTCAGTCGTTTCATGTTTTAGTTCATTAGTTCCACTTGCTTTGGGCTACCTGTTCAAGCTGAGAGAGTTAGTGAGGAAATCAGGCTGTATTAAGATCCACTTCTCACCTGTTATTGTCCTAGCTATAGATTTGATCTTGACATTGTCATCCGTGATGTAGTAATATATTTTTTTCCTCATTCTTTATCTTTCCCTCTCAGCAGTAAAGACATTTTGTGTATCTACTGGGAGGGACCTGAAGTAGTGCTGGGTATGCCCTGCCCTTACATGCCCTTGCTGTGAGTCTGAAAGGGGCAGAACAAAGCCTATCACGTTATGGAGTACAAAAAATGGGGAAAAGTTATTTTTATTTCAAATGTTACAAATGTGTCAATACTTCAGGTACTGCTAAGTAATATTTATTTAATAAATAAGATAACTTTCAAGATTACTTTTGCTTTCCTGGAATTTGCTGATGCACTTATTACAACTTGGCCATCTCCTGGAGTAAGTGACACAGGCCTCTGTCCTAGAGATAAACAGTCCTCTTCAAAGCACTGTTTTGATTCATTCCTAGAGCTTGTTCATTTTGTGTGTTGGATGGAGACTGGAGTCTGAATAATTATCATGGTTATGTAATTAAAGATTAGCATAATACATATGCACAAAAGCGTGAGATTCAGGTAAAATGCACATTGTATTTTCTCATTTTATTTTAGTGTATTGACTCTGCAGTTATTTTTGGCAGTTACTATTTGGTTTTGATTTTTTTATTTAAAAAAATCTGGTTTTTATTAAAATATTATTGACAGTGCATTATGTAACATTTTTTATCAGACTTACAAGTAAGATGTTTAGAGGTAGAAAGTTGAGACCCAACTCCAGCTAAAAGGTCTGTTTCACCTTGTGATCCTTCAAAATCCGATCCTGATATGCATTTGTTATTTTTCACTATGCTTAACATGTCCACTTTGAGAAAGTCCATGGCATGGATGAATGTATAGATAACAGCCATGAACAGCTGGGATTTAAAGTTTTGGGACCCATCTATTCTCTAAAAACTCTTATTACTTAACTGTGTTTCTTTCTTTCAAGACTGAAGAATTCTAAGAACTGAAATATGCTGCCATACACACCAGCAGCTAACAAGGAAGGAGCTGCTGTCTGCACACAGCAGCAGTAAAATCCAGCATGGGCAGGCTGAACTTAATCTTTTGCTGACTTAATGATTATTCTGTAGCCAAAGGCAGTGCCTGGTAGCTGGAGATTTCTCTTTTGTCCATAATACAATTTATCTAAGTAGGTCTTAGGAGCTTTGTCTTCTTTGTGAAGATATCCCAGCAAATCTTCCAGACTTGCTGAATTTTTAAACTTCCTTTCCAAGTTATTTATTATGCTTTATCACTCTGTATTTTGTATATATTTTAATTTTAATTTATGGTCCTAGTCCCAGAACTTTCTTGCAAAGTTCTCATATGCTGCTAAGGACATTTATGAATGGTTTATGTTGTCGGGATTGTTTGGCAATCGCTTGGTGGCCTATGGAAGCAATGCAAAAGGCAAATCCAGGAGATGGAGCAGTATCGGCTCACAAAAGAGAACCTCAGAGGAGAACGTGTTCATGCTGAGAAATGAGGAAACATAATTGTGTGTGTGTGTGCAGAAGCACCAGTTGTCTTGGAAGAAATTGCTGAATTTAGAAAATAGTTTTCGAATCTGCTGAGTACAAATGAGTTACTACTGAAAAGAAAGCTAGTGAGAAAAATGGTAATAGCCCTTTTATTTGGGAGCTAGAATGTTAGCCCTTGCTTGTGTTTTATCACCCACATTGCAAAGTTTGTAGTCAGCATGCGTTATGCACTGCCACGACATACTCATAAAATCTGTGGCGTCTAAAATTTCTTTTTCTAGATTTATCTTGCTCAAGTGCTATAATGGGAAGTGTTATAATTGCCTGGTAAAGGGTTTTGATTAAATTGATCTTCCTGTGTCTAATGTAGGTCTGTTTTAATCTTGAAAATATATTGCAGGTTTGTGTGCCCCTTCAAAGGTTAGGAGGATGCAGCATTCTAACAAGTCTGCCCTGCATAGCCTTGCTGCCACTCTAAAATCTTTTTCTCCCTTTTTCCACTTGTGTCCATGTGCACAGCTCCTTGGCAGGTTACAAAACAAAGTAGGACCTCCCAGGGATTTGCTGCTGTAGTAGCATAGTTAAAATATAACATACATATGTTAATAAAGGGCAATTAAATTCAGTTTGTAGGCTGTGTCCTCTTCTGAACTCACACCTTCTGACCTCTAAGACTGTAATCTCAGGAATGTTTGAGGCTCAAATAAACTACCATTGTGGTCCTGCTCTTTTGCTTGCCTGCCAGTGTTGGTTTTGCCAGCTCAGCTCTGCTATGGCTGTATAGTGAACCAGATCATGGCACACATCTGATGGAAAAATACTTCCTTACTCCTATTTAGGATATAAGCTGTATTTTTGCATTCATATTTTCTTTTCAAAAACATTAGTTGGGTATTGAAGCATCTGACCTCTTCACTTATCTAAAAGATGCAAATAGAAAAAAACAACAAAATTCTTGCTTTGAAGGAATGATATGGATTCTGTTTAATCAATTTACTAATATATCACTTAAATGGATTTTTTGTTTTAATCAAAGTTAATGCTTTTTCTTTTCAATTTAGCCTTGTATTTTTGTATTTTAAGGAAGTGATTATGGAACAAAACAAACTCTTCTCTCCTAGGGCATATTAGTAAGAAGTAGGTTGTTTTAACCAAATGAAGTTTTCTTTTTGGAAAAAAAAACCCAACCTCAGCATTTTGTATGTTTTTGTTTGATTTGGGGTTATTTTTTACCCTAGGATCTACTTTGGATTTGCTGGACATACATTTTATTTTATGTTCCAATGTATTGATCTACTTGAATAGGTGAACAACTATTCTTTTAAAAACAGTATACAAATGTTGGAATTCTAAGCAGCTGTAGAAGACAAGAGTCGTCAACGATGAGAATTGAAAATCAGTGAGCTCATTTGAACTTCAGTACTTAGCATAGCTTCTAACAGAAATCAAGTATTATTCTTTGAACATCATGTTTGACTGCCAAAAATGCTCTATAGATGAAATGTGTATAGAAAATAATGGTAGTCCACTTCTAGAAAATACAACATTAGCACATTGGATAAGGGAAGCTGGATCTTCAGTTTGGTGTAGGTACTGTGGGAACATGAGAGTTTTAACAGTAAGATTGTCTGTATTTCAGAGTTTTCTGTAACAGCAAGCTTTTAATGATGTGTATTTATTTTAATTCCAGAACAGGAATATTAAAAGAAAACTTAATTTAAACCAGTGAACTCCATTCTCTCCTTTAGTTTTATTTAAAGACAACCTAAGAACAAGATGGTTTAAGAGAAATAATATTTATTAAGACAGAATTTAATTACCTTTTCTATGGATACTGCTTTTTCTCAGAGGATTTTAAATACTAGATTTTCAAGCAAAAAAATCTTCTAGTATCAGTATGTGAAAAACATTGTTCCAGGAATTGTGGGAGCATATTACAACAAAGGTTTCAGTTTGCAGGGTGGAATGTTATACCATTCTTTATCAACTGTAGCATAATATGATATACAACATCCCACTTTTTTTTAATGATAGTGATGAGAGTAGGAAAAAAAATTTTTTTAGCAACAGGATAAGTACAAGAGGCCATTCTGTTATCCTGCTTTATGGTCTACAGTAATCTGGACACAAGGGCATTGGTAGATTGTTTCCTCTATGGAACTGTTCCTGAATTTTGAAACTGATTGTTCTAGTAGGCCTGCTAAATACTGATTCTGGGTTTTGTTTTCCTTTTCTTTTTCCCTTTTACTTACCAAAAGCAGAAACAGAACTACAGTGAATTAGAAATGGAAGATTCAAACAATTCAATACAAACAATACAGACCAGCCCTTGCTCAGGTTTTTGAGTGCCCTACAGTGGAAGTGTTATCCTAGCTTGCCTTTTATTTTTTTCTTTTGCCTAGTGTATTTTATTTAAACCTGTCAGGTTAATGTTAGACATTTGAAGAATTAATTGGTACTTTCTGGCACAAAGGTGCCTGCTGGTGTCTTGAGCATTGCTTGCTTCTCTTCTGATATTAAGGTAGCACAGTGACAGAAAACAGATGATGAAACTGTAAACCAAAAATCTCTGAAACCATTTCGTTATTCCAGTGTAAGCATTAATGCCTCTTTATTTCTAAGTTCTTATTTAAGTGATAATGTTTAAAATTAGCTATTGCTTGTATGTATATTTTTAAAAATATTTGAAAGCCTCTTTGCATAGCTGTACTAGTGAAAACAGCAGTTGCAAAGTGAAGGGTATAATTTTAAACAACTGTAGGCATATTTATAAATTTTATTTTTTTTTCTTATAAAAAGTTCTATCAAGAAGAAATGTAGAATTGGATGCTGGAATTTATATAACAAGAAATGAACCTATGTTAGAAAATTAAGTTTTTCAATAAAACTTGTCTTTTCATCTTTTTTTTTCTTTCTTCTAGGACCGGAATAGGCCCTATGACACTTTTAACTTGCACTCTTTGGAAAATTCCTTAATGGATATGATAAGGACTGATCATGAGCCTCTGAAAGGTAAACACTACCCTCCCAGTGGCCCACCAATGAGTTTCGCTGATATAATGTGGAGGAATCATTTTACAGGTTAGGAATATTCATATGTCCATGCTTGCTTGGTGTTTAAACAAAAATCAGCTTTTCAGTATTTCTATAAACTTTTTGTTAATGAATGAGTTTCCAGTTATGTGAAATTTCTGTTTTCCCATCTTAAGATAAACTTCTCTACTAGGAAGATGAAATGTGTATCCATTTATTCTAAGTGTACAGTCATAGTATTATCTGACTGGCATATCTGAAACATGGGATTTTGTATCAGCAAATTGTAGAGCAAGATCTCTTGCTGCAGTCACTTCAAAAAATGTTTCATGCAACTGGAGTCCAGCTGTTGTGTTCAACATCTTTTTCAAAGATTTCAAAGGTTATACTTCACTGATGTGTGGATTATCAGCCAGGATACACTGGCCCTAAACCAACCACTGTATCAAGGTTACTCTTTATAGTTACTTCAGGTTTCCTTTAAATAAATTTATCTTAATTTGGATTTCAAATCATTACAGAGAGCCAAAAGAGATTACATATTGTTAAGTGCTGGGAAAGTTTTGATTATTTATGCTGTTAAACTGTGTTTGTTCTACCAGGTGTTGCATTAGAGATGAAACCATTTCTAATACTTGGCTGATAGTATAGTAAAAGGTGTGGCAGCATTTCACTGAATTCCTGATCAGCCTGCACCCTCCTTTGTCTTTATCTTTCATTGGTTAAGTTTAAAAATAGGTACACATTCTTGCTGACTTTTAAGACTGAAGATAGTTGTAAGCCATATACCAAGGAAGTATTGAACAAGAAATTATTGTTCCCAAAGACTAAGAAGTCAGAATGCAAAGAAGAAATTCACTTGTGTGTAGCACTTTCTATGCTAATGCTTGTATACATATTTTTTGATGTCATGACTACCTCAGTTACTCTCCTCTCCATTTGTAAAAGTATTTTTTCTTGGTCAGAAGTATTGTGCCTTTTTTTGCCATCTTTTTGGGTACAGACTTTTTTCACAACCCAACCAAATTGGCTTCTGTACCATCTGCTAACCTGTGCTTTCCACTGTTATCTTGAAATTTGCTGTGCCACAGCCTTCATGTGTCTTTAACCATTATTCATCTATCTAAAATGGCAAGGAATACAGTCGCATGTCTATTCTGATCATAAACCTCTGGCTGTCATTAGAACATTAAATAAGATTCAAAAAAAATACAGTTCAGTATTTATTGTGTCCTGTTAGATACACTGTAATTTAGCTAAAACTCCCATGCTCTTTATGGGTTTTTTCAGTATTTATTTACATATAAAAATAGAGACTAATTTTTTTAGAACGAATTTCCATATGAATCTGTGTGGAAAAAAATGAAAAAGATGGAGTTAGAAATGGGATCAGATATTAATAGTTAAAGTTGGATATTACATGAAGTTTAAACTGATCTTTTCCATTTGACAGTGGGACCATTAGCTTTACTTTTGCTCTAACAAAGGCTTCTGTCTCAGACTGGATATGCTCTATTTCATTTTCTCATTTGGTGTTTCTTGCCTGTTTTGGCCTTCCTGCTTTGCCAGTGAGCTCACTTCCAGTCAGCCGCTGTTGGAGAAGTCTGCTTCTCTATCAGTTACCTCCCTGTGTCTCTGCCTACTTGGTTGATGGGGTTTTTTTCCCCAATGATACAGCTGCTTTTGCTGTGTTTCTTTCTTCTCCATCTAAGTACAGGGCTGACTTTGCCAGCCCCCAGCCTTGCCCTGGCCTCATGTGCACTTTCCCTGCTCCTGTTTTCACACTGCAGCATGACTGGGAATATTTGTAGGAGCGGTTCATTCAGGACACATTCATTCTCCCTTGAAAGAGGTGTTGCCTTCCTCTGTGCTAAACAGATCTGTGTTACTATCTTAGCTGAATCCTTTTCCTGAAAACCATTCTTCCGCAAAAATTGATTCAATCCTCAAATCAAATTTATTACTGCATTTTTGCTGTTTCTTTTTCTGTGAAAATTGGTCTTGACTGTTTTCCTGTACATCCCACTTCTTTTTCTGTACAAAGGTCCAGAAGGTTTTCTCTGCTGTCCTTTTCCACACCTTCCTCACATTTCACTTCGTTGTCTTCTAAACTCACTTGCTTTTTCTTATTTAATCCGCTCTCCTCTGACTCTCCCCGTTAAGGTAGCAGGACATTTTAGTCTGTTACTACATTCAGAAAGTAAGTGATCAATTCTGCTTGCTTTGGCTTGCTTTTAAGTCATTGCCAAATTTTCATTTATTTTCACCTTGAAGCTTTTTGAGCATATTGGTTATGTACTTCAGCTTAATTTTTTTCAATTCCTTGTAGAGAAACCCATGTGAGTGCCTCCTGTGTGAAATTTCTGGAATATTATTAACTTAACCAACTCTCTGAGTTAGTTCCTCTTCATTTTACCACCTCTGTCTTTCATATTAAACTGTTTATTCCCTTTAAATCTTTACTTCCTCTTGCATGTGATTGTCCTCTCATAAAGCAGCCACAAAAATTGTAATTTAAAATAAAAGCAATGAGATGGCTTTCAAATAACTTTAAAATTGTTCTTCTTTTGGTAAGTGAGCCCTTTTTTCTCAAACAATCAATCAAACGATCACAGCTAGCAGTGCTTGCAGGTCAGTTTGCCATACATTTACTATCCAAATTTTTAAGTGAAAAGGGTGAGTACCAAAATGCTCTGATTTTGAAAATACAGGAGGACTTGATTCTAGAAAAACTGTATGTTTCTTGGAGCCTCCAATGTTGCAATGTTGCCAGTGGAGCTGTTTCAGGATCATTTCAACCTGCTGCTGCCAGCAAATACTTATTTTTAGAAGTACTGTCTGTATATGTGTTCATGAGTAAAATATTGCAAGCGGTTTATCTGAAGTTTGAAACTTTGCTTGGAACATCATCCTTCTTGGTATATGTATGCTTCATATCCCAGCAGATACCTGGAACAAAAAAAATTCTCTTAGGTATGAAACAAGAGTTCCCGATTAGATTGTGGGTGGGAGGATTAACCATGAAAGATTCTGATGGGAAGACCAAATTGAAATGCTTCTGGGATATTTTGTTCTTGTTTTGGGGTCAGAGTTCCTTGTGCTCTGTTTGGTTCAGAGGAGATAGTGGAGAGGCCCGAGGTGAGAGAGTCTATCCTCTTGTTTGTACTAGTTCAAGCTTCATACCTTTCTCTCAGTCTGAGCTATGGTCAGGCTTTGTCCTGTAGGCTTTGGAATTGAGTTTATTTCAAGGTCACCAAAGCAGATTGCTTCTTTTAAAGCGTGATCCACTTGGCCTTGAGAGGGCATGTGATTAAGTGATATTTCTGGGGGAGGGACTTTTTTATTGCTTTCATGTGTGGAGCAGAGCAAGTCTGACAGATTGTTAGTGCAACAGAAATTATCTGATCCTCACTCTTGCAATGCTGAGTTACTTACGTTAAGCCAGTCTGATTGGCAGGCTGGCTTGGTGCTCTCCAGTGAGGAGAGCCAGGGTCACTCAGTTCTTTTTGTGCGTTTCTTGCTGTAAAAGAGATTTGAAATCTAGATCTGAGGTTTCTGGACCTAAATTGTCAGCATATCCATCTAAGTTTAATTTTATCATGAGCCTAGTCTTGGGAGAAAGTGCTCCGTGTTGGCTCTTGTTTTGTTTCTAAAACTGATTTCTTTTTCTCAGCTTTTTCTGCTAGATAGGGGAACCCTTCTGTATGTCCCTGTCTTTCTGTCCTCATAGTCTGGGAACTGTGTAACTTTACAAGTCATTTGTCATCTTCATGCTTTGAGATTTAAGGAGTGTAAATTAATGGAAAAGGAATTCTCTTTTTCGTTTGTCCCAACACTTTGGCAGACTTACCTACCTGATGTCTCTACCATCAAGACTAGCTTCAACGTTTTTCTTTCCTTTCAGTCGATACTCGTAAACACTTTTCTTCTTTCAAAAGGAGGGAAAAAGGGAAAAAAGTTGAGTAAAGGAATTTTTAAGCTTGGTTAATGACAAATTACAGTGGATGACCCAAGGTATCTGCTCCTCATGTCAGTCATAGAGAGGCCTCTGACAAAAATGTGCAGTATCTCCTAAGATGTTTTTCCTCAGCAGTCTTACTTATTTTCTGAGTGGCCAATAAAATGTATTACACACTAAAAAAATATGAGGGACAGTTTTGCTTTAAAAAGGAAAGGTTGTATTTGCAGTATTTTATAACCTTTTTTATTTACATTCTGCTTTGACCTAAAGGTGTAGGGCAAAAGTGAATTATCAGAATGACTATGGGTAGATGCCGCTTATCACTGACCAGAACATTTCTTTTCTACATAAAAGTGTCTCCTGTCCATGGTGTAATATGTCACTGTTGCAATATGTTTATCCGTGTCAAACTATTGCATTACAACACAAACAGAGGCATTCTGATCTATAAAAAATATTTTGATCAGTAGTAACTAGCAGCTGCCTTTGTTCTATTTTTAAATAATTAAATAAAATATTTCAGCTGTGTTAGATCATATGTTGTGCACATGTGCTACTGACAGGTCGTGAAACTAAGTATAAGACTGAGGAGAGAAAGCATGTCATTCAAAGCATTTATTTAAAATTTACTATTACACTGGATAACAGTAATATTTGGGTTTTATTCTAAACAGAACAGAAACAAACTTTGCAATTTACAAATCCCCACCTAACAAAAATTCTGGGTGTTTTTTAATGTATCAGTGTGACACAACTTCAAATATAAATAATTGAAGACAACATATGTGCAGGGAGATTTCAAGAGTAAGCTTTATTATACCTAATTTTAATGGATATCATTCTGTAGAAAGATACATAAAGCATGTGTTGATTATGTCATAATATTTCAGTAGAGATCAAGATGTTGAATATAAATGTACAACAGTTCAGAGGCAGAAAAAGCATCTGTGGAGAAACTTTATCTTGATTTTCAGTACTTAGTGTCACCTATTTATTTGTGAAATACAAAACTGAAGTTACTGGGTTACTGCTTCATAACTTTTTTAAAGACTATCAGGTCATATGAAAACTAAGTAAAATTTAATAT